CCAGCAGTAGGGTAGGCAGGTAGTTTGGAGTCTAAAGGCGCGTTCGCACGGACGTTTTTAGCCCGAGCCTGATTAGGCCCGCGCCAAATTTGGCTCGAGCCGAGCGTTCACATGGACGGTTTTTCGGGGCCGTGCCGAGTTAGCACGAGCACATTTGGTCCCATCGAAAACGTCTGACCAGGCCCGAGCCAAATTTTAGCACCAGCTAAATCGGTAGAGTGGTAGATGCCACCAGTGTCAAACGTGTACTTCGACGTAATAAAGTCCAAAACAATATAAAAATTCGATAAATTTGATCAGGATGCATGTTTTCAAGATTGATAATTAAACTCGGAACGGAAGTAAACACTGCATCGTACACATCTCGCGACATACTGCCAAAGTATCTGTGAGATATTTGTGCAATAAAATTTATTTGAATTTGAATTTGAATTTGACAGACAGTATTCACTTGCGTACGTGTGAACGCTCCGACTCAAACCGGCTCGAGCCAAATTTAACCTGAGCCAAATTTAGCCCATTTAGCTCGAGCCAAACCATTACCGTGTGAACGCGGTATAAAATGTCACCAGAAAAGTTCATTTGAAAGAACAAATGTATAATAATGCGCAGTATCTGCCTTCAAACACATGTGACAGCTCTCATAGTAAAAACATGTTTAAAAAAAAGTAGCCTTGATGACCTTTCTCTGATAAAGCCATTTGCCTTTGTGCCCCCTCTTCAACTTGCTGCCTGCCACCCTAAAATTACTCATCGCGTAAAATGTAACACTTGCCTCGCACTCTCCACGTCAATTTTAAAATGAGATTAATTTATAAAGTCTTAGATTAGCATTACGATTAAGACGTATGATAGTTGATACGATACAATTGGCAACAATTGTCGGTGACACATGTCAGCTGGAAGCGAGTGAGGGAGTGTGTGAGCATAGCTGACGCGCGCCACATGTGATGTCATCGTTGCAGACGCTGCCGTTCGTTGACGTGGCGACCGGCTCGCTGGGACAGGGGCTGAGCTGCGCTGCCGGCATGGCATACACGGGCAAGCACTTCGACAAGGCGAGGTACGCTGACGGGGGACGCTAGACGGGGGAGAGTCACAGCAAGTTAGAACTGTGGTGTCGTCCGCCTGTGTGCGTGTGTATGTTTGTGTGTGCGTGTGCGTGTGTGTCCGTGTGCTTGTGCATGTGCGCGTGCGTGCGTGCGTGTTTGTGCTTGTGTGCTTGTGTGCGTGTGCGTGTGCTTGTGTGCGTGTGCGTGTGCGTGTGCTTGTGTGCGTGTGTGCATATGCGTATGCGTGGGTGCGTGCGCATGCGTGTGAGTGTGTGTGTGTGTATAAACTATAAATACGTGTGTGTTATAGCTACCTTTCAGTATCACCTGTACGTACCTGTATATTACAGTTACTGCCTCATGGGCTGTATATGTGTGAGTGTGAGTGCGTGTATATATGTATCTGTATGTGTGAGTGTGCGTGTGTATGATCTGTACGTACGCACCTGTATATTACAGCTACCGCGTCTACTGCCTCATGTGCTGTGTGTGTGTGCGTGTGCGTATGATACATACGTGCATGCTACTGCCTCATGGGCTGTACGTGCGTGTGTGTGTGTATACTGTAACCTGTACGTACCTGTATACTACAGCTACCGCGTCTACTGCCTCATGGACTGTATGTATATGACTGTATATTATGTGTACCTGTATACTACAGCTACCGCGTCTACTGCCTCATGGACTGTATGTATATGACTGTATATTATGTGTACCTGCATACTACAGCTACCGCGTCTACTGCTTCATGGGCTGTATGTATATGATTGTATATTATGTGTACCTGTATACTACAGCTACCGCGTCTACTGCCTCATGGACTGTATGTATATGATTGTATATTATG